TAAATGTAATAGTTTGCTTCTACTAACCCCCAACTCCCAGTCCATTCCTCCCCGCCACCCCTTGGCAACCATAAATCTGTTCTCTATGTCTGTGAGCCTGTGTCTGTTTTGTAGGTAGGTTCATTTGTCATATTTTCAGTTCCACATATAAGTGATATCATGTGGTATTTGTCTTTCTTTTTCTGACTTACTTCTCTTAGTATGATCATCTCTAGGTCTATCCATTTACTTCAAATGGCACTATTGCAGTCTTTTTTTTTTATGACTGAGTAGTATGGAATACTACCTCTTATCCATTTATCTGTTGATAAACATTTAGGTTGTTTCCACGTTTTGCCTATTGTGAGTAGTGCTGCTATAAATATAGGGGTGTATGCACTTTTTTTTTGCATTATAGTTTTGCCCAGGTATATGCCTAGGAGTGTGATCACTGGGTTATATGATATTTCTATTTTTAGTTTTCTGAGGAACCTCCATATTTTTTTCCATAGTGGCTATACCAACTTACATTCCCACCAACAGTGTAGGCGTGTTCCTTTTTCTCCACATCCTCTCCAGCATTTGTTGTTTGTAGATTTAAAATAAAAATGGTTATTTATTTGACTGTGCTGGGTCTTAGTTGTGGCCTGTGAGCTCTTAATTGTGGCATGTGGGATCTCGTTCCCTGACCAGGGATCAAACTCGGTCCCTCTGCATTGGGAGCCTGGACCTTTGGCCACCAGGGAAGTCCTTGTAACATTTTAATGATGGCCCTTCTGACTGGTGTGAGGTGGTACCTTACTGTAGTTTTGATTTGCATCTTTCTAATAATTGGTGATGTTGAGCATATTTTCATGTGTCTACTGGCCATGTGAATGTTTTCTTTGGAGAAATTTTGTTTAGGTCTTCTACTCATTTTTGGATTGGGGTTGTTTAGATATTGAGCTGCATGAGCTGTATCATATGTTTTTTATTCTTCAGTTTTTAATGTGGTGTATCACATTTTAATGTGGTGTATCACATATGTGGATATTGAAAAAATTTCTCATATCCCTGGGATAAATCCCACTTGATCATGATGTGTGACCCTTTAATGTATTTTTTGGATTTGGCTTGCTAATATTTTTTGAGGTTTTTTTATTTTTATTTTTTGCACCTATGTTCATCAGTGATATTAGCTTGTAATTTTCTTTTTTGTGATATCTTTTTTGTGATGGAGAAACCCTATGCAGTCAGCAAAAACAAGACCTGGAGCTGACTGTAGCTCAGATCATGAGCTTTTTATTGCAAAATTCAGGCTTAAATTGAGCAGAGTAGGGAAAGCCCCTGGGCCACTGAGGTGTGGTCTAAATCAAATTCCTTACTGTTATACAGTGGAGGTGATGAGTATGTTCCATGGATTAGATCTGACTGAAAGAGTGCCTGAAGAACTACAGATGGAGGTTCATAACACTGTGTAGGAGGCAGTGACCAAGACCATCCCAAAGAGAGAGACATGGAAGAATGCAAGGTGGTTGTCTGAGGAGGCCTACAAGTAGCTGAGAAAAAAAGGGAAGCTAATCACAGAGGCAAGGGAGAAAGGGAAAGATATACCCAACTGAATGCAGAGTTCCAGAGAATAGTAAGGAGAGATAAGAAGGCCTTCTTCAATGAACAATGCAAAGAAATAGAGAAAACAGTAGAATGGGAAAGACTAGAGATCTCATCAAGGAAATTGGAGATATCAAGGGAACATTTCATGCAAGGATGTTCATGATGAAGCACAGAAATGTAAGGACCTAACAGAAGCAGAAGAGATTAAGAAGACATGGCAAGAATGCACAGAAAGTCCATACAAAAAAGGTCTTGATGACCCGGATAACCATGATGGTGTGGTCACTCACATGAGTCAGACATCCTGGAGCATGAAGTCAAGTGGGCCTTAGGAAGTATTACTACGAACAAAGCTAGAGGAAGTGATGGAATTCCAGGTGAACTGTTCCTATTCCCCAAAGATGATGCTGTTAAAGTGCTGCACTCAGCATGTCACCAAATTCGGAAAACTCAGCAGTGGCCACAGGATTGGAAAAGGTCACTTTTCATTCCAATCCTAAAGAAAGTTCATACTATAGTACAATTGTGCTGATTTCACATGCTATTTTTTCCAGGCCATGCAGCTTTCAGGATCTTATTTCCTGGATCAGGGATTGAACCTAGGTCACCACAGTGGAAGCACTGAGTTCTATCCACTGGAACACCATGGAACAGTCTCATTTCTTATTTTAATAGTTGAGTCTTCTCCTTTTTTCTTAGTCAATGTAATTAAACCTTTGTCAGTGTTGTTGATGTTTTCCTAGAACCAACAATTGTTGATATGTATATAGATTTTTGTCTCCTTAATTGTTTATTCTAATCTCCAGTGTTTCAATGTGTTTGATAGATTTCAGTTTAGTTTTCCCTAGTTTTCCTAGTTCTTTAAGATGTAAAGTTCAGTTTTTTATAAGGTATATTTGAAACAATTTTTTTCTTTGAGTTAAGTAAACTGGCTTCTTGGTAACATATGCCATTATCAATAAATGATGTTTACCTTAACCTACGTGCTGAAGCATGAGTTGAAATTACTCTAATAAGCCCTAAGTTGATTTGAAAGGAGCTTATCCTAACCCTGCCATGTCCCTCAGAGTGGTGGTGACAACAACCATGAGCTCCTGGCAGGGACATCAGTGACGGACACAGGATGGCAGAGCTCTTAGTGTCAGGATGGGAGATGTCCCACATCTCGCTCTCTGCCCCAAGCCCTGAGGACAGGCTATGATGAAATCACAGAGGCAAGGGAAAAAGCATGTTTTTCCTCATTGTTTTTCACCAGGATGGAGGGAGGGAGGTGCAGAGCCTCAGGAAAAGTCCTCCACGGGACTGATCTGAAGCAGTAAAAAGGAGTGGATAAGGAAGTTGTGGTACACATATACACAATGGACTATTACTCAACTGTAAAAAAGAATGCATTTGAGTCAGTTCTAATGTGGCAGATGAAACTGGAGCCTATTATACAGAGTGAAGTAAGTCAGAAAGAGAAACACCAATACAGTATATTCAGTTCTGTTGAGTTGGTCAGTCATGTCCGACTCTTTCCGACCTCATAGACTTCAGCACACCATGCACCCTTGTCCATCACCAACTCCTGGAGTTTACTCAAACTCATGTCCACTGAGTCGGTGATGCCATCCGACAATCTCATCCTCTGTTGTCCCCTTCTCCTGCCTTCAGTCTTTCCTAGCATCAGGGTCTCTTCCAATGAGTCAGTTCTTTGCATCAAGTGGCCAAAGGATTGGAGTTTCAGCTTCAACATCAGTCCTTCCAGTGAATATTCAGGACTGATTTCCTTTAGAATTGACTGATTTGATCTCCAAGGGACTCTTGAGAGTCTTCTCCAACACCACAGTTCAAAAGCCTCAGTTCTTCAGTGCTCAGCGTTCTTTATAGTCCAACTCTCGCATCCATATATGACTACTGGAAAACCATAGCTTTGACTGATGGACCTGTGTTGGCAAAGTAATGTCTCTGCTTTTTAATAAGCTGTCTAGGTTGGTCATAGCTTTTCTTTCAAGGAGCAAGCATCTTTTAGTTTCATGGCTGCAATCACCATCCACAGTGACTTTGGAGCCCAAGAAAATAAAGTCTGTCACTGTTTCCATTATTTCCACTGTTTCCATCTATTTGCCACGAACTGATGGGACTGGATGCCATGATCTTAGTTTTTTGAATGCTTAGGTTTAAGCCAACTTTTTCTCTCTCCTCTTTCACTTTCATCAAGAGGCTCTTTAGTTCTTCTTCGCTTCTGCGTAAGTATGGTGTCATCTGTGTATCTGAGGTTATTGATATTTCTTTCAGCAATCTTGATTCCAGCTTGTGCTTCATCCACCCCAGAATTTTGCATGATGTACTCTTCATATAAACAAGTTGACAATATACAACCTTGATGTATTCCTTTCCCAATTTGGAACCAGTCTGTTGTCCCACATCTACTCATTAAGAATATCTGAAGCCAGGGAAACAGATGGCATTGCCTGGAAGAATGTGTTGAATAAATGTGAAAGCATGACTGAAGTAAGAAGCATCAATCTTTAAGTGAGATAAGAGAGAGAGGGATAGGAGGAGGGGAAGAAGGGAGAAAAATAGCTGTTTACAGTGGAAAAAAGGAACTTTATGAAGGGAACATGGCTTTTCCAAGTTATGGCATAAGCAGGAGAATATTTGAGGGAAGATGGGACTTGGGTTTGAAAGCAAAGTATCTGAGGGTTGAGAGGTACATGATCACACTGGAGATGAGGTACTACAGGATGGTGAAAACTAGGTGATTGTATGTTTTAAAGGAAAGTAAAAAAGGAGATATAAAAAAGATATTAATGTCTTGGTATTCAAAGAATTGTGTGACTTCTTTGTCCAGGTGATGTTGGATTCAGGGGACCAGCATGTGTATTGTTGACAGTGACAGGGATGGGAAGATATCCTCAAGGTAGAATGATGTAGGGGAAAGCCTGGAATTGCTCTGGGCAATGACCTGGAGCTTTCTTTTTTGACTAACATCTGCTTGATGCCCCAGGATTCAGTTCTCAATGGGTGGTGCCTGCGTTAGCGGTGTCACCATCCAGTGGGAATGCTTGGAAATGCAATCTCTTGTCTCCAAGACTACTGGAATTGAGAGCCCGAAGTCTGAGTTCTGTCAATCCTTTGAATAAATGTGATGCACAGAGCAATTTGAGATTCATCTCACTAGGGAGAGTGGAGTGTGGTTATCCAAATGTGCTGAGAACATTCTCCATGACTGGCAGTGGTTTCATCCCCCATTTTGTTCACATTCTACATTTCATTTTGTTTTCAAAGGGGAGGCTCAAAAGAAATATAATGCCCCCAAAACTGGAGAAGACAAGAGCTTTTCGCCAAGGCCAAGCAGAGACATCGTGACAGATCTGTACTTCCTCTGAGGCTGACCAGATGCACTTTCCAGAAGCCAGTCACAAGGATACCCTCCCATCCTGGCGATGTGGTCAGGCCCCGCTGATGCGAGGGGATCCTGGGAGAAGCTGCAGCAAGTCTGTGCATTCAGGAGGCTGCAGGAGCTCCAGGCCTACAGCCCTGAAGGAGAGCCTTTCAGGACCTTGAAAAGCACAAATGTTTCAGGGGTTATTGCCCTGGTGCTTGCTGCAGGTGAGTTCCTGGGTCGTGCTGGTTCCAGATCTCTGCACACCAGCCCTGAGCCCATCACTCTTAGTTTTCAGATAAAGCAGAGACGGACCCAGGATTGGGGCTTTTCCTCCCACAGGCCCTCTGCAGATGGCCAGAAACAGATGCAGATGTTTGCTGATAGTCTCAGATAGTGAAGACAGCAAGGGAGGGATTGGCTCTGACCTTGAGGGCAGACAGGCTTGCCAAGGATGCAGAGTCAGGAGCCAGAAAGAATGTTCTTGAGACCTAGAGGAAAAATAGGAGACTGTCCTGTAGAAACCAAGTGGTCCCTGGGAAGTGGTTCACAGGGAGTGGGGGTGGGGACAGTCCTCTGTTCCACTGGCCTCTTTCACTGTCAACCCTGTTTCTGAACTAAGATTCTTTGTTATATTAACTTTGTACTCTATTAAATGCTTAGTAGGCAAAAACAAAGGCATAAATGTTTTTTGTGGATAAGAGATTGGACTTCATATGACAAGAGAAAAGATTTTTGTATATCTTTGTACACCTCAGTTTCTGCTTGCCAGAATTTCTATATTGAATTCTACAAAGGTAATCTAGCCTGGGGAATTGTTTAGGTTCTTAGTTATAATATTTTCTTACATTACTTACACTTAAACAAGAAACAATCTATTCTACAGAGATTATTTTTAATATTTAGTGAATGCTATAAAATCTTATTTTGTTAAGCTTGCTTTTAAGCTTATTTTTGTTAAGCTTTCATTTTTAACACAAGTTGTCTCCTTTTTCTTTTTTTTCATCATTCTTGTGCCAAACACTAAATCAGACAGAAGACATTTTACTGTAAGTCAATTAACACTTATGCTATATGTTGCCTCTTTATCTGGTACCTAAAAATTAAGTGTGTACTGTTTCTGAAGAATGTCATTTTGTAAAATGTTATTTGTTTGTTTATTTCAGTTTTGGCTGCACCGAGTCTTCCATTGCTGCCAGCGGCTTTCTGTAGCTGTGGAGAGCCGGGCTAGTCTCTAGCGGTTGTGCCTAGGCGTCTCGTGTGGTGCCCTCTCTTGTTGCAGAGCGCGGGCTCTAGGTGCTCGGTTTCACTGTTTCTAGCACATGGACTTAGTTACTCCAGGGCATGTGAAATCAGGGATCAAACCCTTGTGCCCTGAATTGGCAGGCAGACTTTTAACCACTGAACCAGCAGGGAAGTCCTACATGGGTATTCTTAAAAATTAGATTTGAATTTTGATTCTTAAGAAGGAACCTGTTTTTTGGAAACATTTTCTGCTGAAAATGACTTGCCAGCAAGCTTGTTGCCCTGATCAAAAATAGGTCTGAGTCACTGAAACTTGTCTACCTCACAGTGTTGGGCCCATCACAATCAGTCATTATTCAAGAAACACATCATTGCTTATTAAATAAACAATTCATTTTACTTATAAACACTCCATTTAGTAAACATCATAATTATTTTCACTGAACGCACAGAGTGTGGAATAAAGGTGTCATGCTACAGAAGTCCCCGGGGGACAGTATCAGGAAGGAAAAGAATGACATTTTCTAGAACTCTTTGTACAGTTTTGATGAAATGGTTTTATCAGTAGTGGAGAGAGAAGGCTGACTCCAGAGAAACAGGACAGAGGGTGAGTGGGTGGGCAGCTGTTCCTTCTGTCAACAGCCTCTGGATTTAACTCTGTGCTAAGTCTGGTAAGTTCTCCCCACTGAGGGAGTAGTTCTTCAGGTTTTCTCCTGTGATTTTGAAGGTCAAGCCACAATAAAGAGTTTATAAACTCGTTTGGGTTCTCAGGTTTTCTCCATCAGGGACTTGGTTACTTCAGCCCGATTCCCCGGAGCTGAGGGAGATGAGAGAGATTTCAGGGATGGATGTGGACTGGACCTGTCCTGGCTCTGTGGTGAGAGCCTGTGCTGTTCCTGAAAACACTTCTAGGAGCACCTCCAGGGGGACCCAGCATTGCTGCTATGGCCTCTGAGCTCTTGCACCATTGAACCAGTCCTGGGCACCTTTCTGTCTTCCTGCAAAACATTGTTTGAACAGGATGACCATTCCAGACCCAGTCATCAAAATTAATATTGCATTTTCTCTATTAGTTTTCTAATTTTGAATTGTATGTGTATTAACATCTCTTCATTTTTTGTTGATTTTCTCACTAAGTTGAATACCCTATGAAGAAAAGGGTAATGTGAGTTTTAATGGTTTACACTGACAGACTCACTTACTCACTTTGCTCTTCTAAAGAGCTCAGATATTTTGTTGAAAGAAAACATTCAAACTCCAAAAATATTTTCTAAAGTTTTCTCAGAAAGTCACTCAAGTTACACAGTGATACCGCCTGTTTGGTGGTAGACTGCAATCAATTGTCAGTCACTATGATTTCACATCCTTTCTCTCTTAATTCATTTAACACTCTAATCACAATAATCTACTTCAAATGTAAACCTAAACAGTACGCTCTTTGTTTTAAATCAGTCATTGCTGTCTTGAGAGATGTTTTTACAGTGAAAAACTAAAACTACCATTTTATTCCTGTTGTCCTGCCGTAGTTATTAACACTACCCCTTTCAACACTCATTATTTCCTGGTTTTGAAGGAAAATCAATTGATCCTCCCATTTACAGAGCACTTATTACACGCCAAGGTGTGGACTAAAATCTATGATTCAGAAATTCATTGAACAAACTCATTGCCCCAGTTTATTTGAATGTTGATGAGAGAAAAGGTGTTTTTTTCCACTTTAATCCTAGATTTATTCAACACAGTTATTTTTACTGTACACAACAAAGTATAGACACAACATTATCTAAAATACTACAAAGCTACAAAACAGAAATTTTATAGTACTGATTACACAAAAAAAGCCGAAAAAGCAAGGCCATGTTGCCAAGGTAACCTGCAGGCCCACCACGAGTATCCGCATAATCCGCAGGGTAGGGGTGGTTCTATGGGGACCTTGTGGAGCTGGCTTTCAACTTACTCACCGGTTTCAGAGAGAAAGCGAGCTGTGTGTGTGTATGTATGTACACATGTGGAAAGAACCATTTTGCGCCGATCACAGGAGGTATTTGACTCTAGAGGTCAGAAAAGGACCCCTAGCAGGAGAGCAGGGCCAGGCTAACAGGAATGGCATCACTGCTGAACTCTGCAGGCGGACAGGTTAGGGCAGGACCAGGCGACCGGCCTGGGCCTCAGGTCATCTGTGAAATGGAAAACGTGCACCGCCTGGCCGCTCTGCTCCTCCCTGCTGGCTTTGTCATTAAACAGATTCTCAGGGACTAGAACCAGAGTTTTCCAGCCAGAACTGTGGAGGGCACGACCCCACACCCCCGCAGCGGGGACTCCGCTGCCCTGGGACAGGCCTCAGTTGCTGCCCTCACCTTCCGGAGGAGCTGGAGCTGGAGCGGCTCCGGGGGAGGGGGCGGCGGGGGAAGCGGGGTGGCCAGCGCTCCCGGGACCCGAGCCTGAGCCGGGCGGAAGGCGACCCTCTCCTCCTCCGTGAGGGTGGCCTGCGCCACCTGGCGGCCGGTGACCGCATTCTCCTGCGAGGGCCGAGGTGCCGGGGCGGCGGCACCGCGGTGGCCCTGATCTCCTGGCCGTCGATTTGTCCTCCGTCCATGTGCCTCATCGCCGTCTCAGCCTCGTCTGGAGTCTCGAACTCCACGTAAGCATCAGACAGACCGGGGTGCAGCCTCTCTGTAGGCATGTCAATCACTATGACTTTCCCGAAGGTGGAGAATATCTCCCTGATGTGGTCCTTGGTCACGTTCCTGGTGAGTCTTGCGATGTGCACCTTGGTGGGTTTAGGGGAAAGGCTGTGCCTTCTCCTTTCCTTTCCGTCTCTTTCGGGTTGTTTCGAGTGAGACCGCTGTCTCTTGCCTCTTCTATGCCGAGAAGGCCTCAAAGAGCCAGGGGAGCTGCTGGAGCTGGAGCTGGAGCTGGAGCTGGAGCTGGAACGTCCCGAGCGGCTGGATGCTGAAGACGAGCTGGAGCCGCTGCTGGAGCCCGAGCCGGTGCTACAGCTGGACCGAGATCTGGAGCTGCTCCTACCACTGGAAGCGCTGCTCCACTTTCGAGTTGTAGCTCTGCCACGGTACTTCTCTCGTGACTTTTTGGGGCCGGCTTTATCTCTAGAGCCGTCCTTGGACAGCTCATCAGAGCTCTCTTTGCGTCCGCTGGGAGAAGGTGCCATCTTCTCTCTGTCGTGCTCCTCAGTATCTGGAGAGAAAGAGTTGATGGAGTGAAAAGTGCTTACTAGTGTTTGGTACAATAAAGCACTATAATAATCAATAAGGCCATCACAGAGACAGAAGAGAGAAAGAGGGAGATATGAAGGAAGAGAAGAAAGGGGAAAGAAAAATGTTAGTAACAACTGATGAAGACTTTGGGGAAGGCCAAACTGATGACATATGGAGCAGAGAACTGAATTTTTAAAAAGAAAGAAAAGCAAACAAATAAACCAAGCACTTTGTGAGTAAAACATTTTCCAGAGAGAACTATTCAAACAGCCTGAGCAAATACTGCTTCTACCTCGGAGTGATTTTATTTAAAAAAAAAAAAAATTGGCTTATTATCCCAAGAAAGGTTCATACACAGAACTGTACAAAATGTGGAATATTTCTTAATACTAACATCAAAGACATAACTTGTAATAAGGAAATTTCTTATTTTAAGGGCCACTACCTGCTATATTAAAGAGACTGCACAAAAGTAAAAAGCATATAAATGAACACTCTCTTGCCATCCATGTGGTTTCCACACTCACCAGAAGAGGCTGGCTTGGAAATTTGGTCTATGCAGGTTCCCCCAGTTCCAAGAGCTGTCCTCTGACCACTCCTGAGATGCAGGCAGCTTGTGACTTGCTGAAAAGTCTACTGACTTCTGCCTCTGATTCTCCTTTTATAGGGGAAGAGACTGGACAATCCAATCAGGGGACAACCCAATCCAGAGGACACACCCTCTGTCAGATCAAAGGCATTGGAGAGGTTCCTGAATCTTTATCTACAAACACAGACATAGGAGTTTTAAACTCATGAGCCACCCACCTCCTCGCATGGCCCTGCAATAAACTCGCTCTGTTCCAAACTCTGATGCTGTGATATTTCACAGTGTGTGAGGCACCCAAACTTGCTTTCTGGTTACATTCTTTCAGGAAAAGAAAGGTATATGAAGTTGCTAAGGCATCTAGTGACTTGTAAAACACACCTGTAGCCTTGGTCCTTCTAAAGCTACTTTGAAGTTGCAAACAGTCTAGCTTTCAAAGAAGGAAACAATGTATCTTCCTTTCCCTTTTGGTTTTTATGGAAGGATTTGTTCCACTATATATATATTTATTTATGAGAGCTATATATATATATTTCATGAGAGCTTCCCTGGTGGCTCAGTGATAAAGAACCCACCTGCAATGCAGGAGACCCGGGTTTGATCCCAGGGTTGGGAAGATCCCCTGGAGAAGAAAATGGCAGCCCACTCCAGTATTCTTGCCTGGAGAATCCCATGGACAAAGGAGCCTGGTTGACTAGAGTCCATGGGGTCGCAAAGAGTCAGAGTCAGACACGACTGAGTTACTAACACACACATATATTTCATAAAAGCTACAGGAAAAGAATTTTGGGCACTGTGTTCTTTCCTTGAAAGGAAATAGCAGTGAGTTGTATTACTGACTTTCACCACAACTGCTTCTAAGGTTTCACTGAAGCTGGGAAAACTGGTCTTTCAAACAGGCTATATTCACAACAGCCAACATGTGCAGACAACACCAATGTCCATCGGAAGACGACTGGCCGCCTCTGTTTGCTACCCTGGGGTAGGTGGGTGGGTGGTGCCACTCACCTCACTGAGTAGGGTGCCAGGGGAAGTAAGGTGAGGCAGAGGTGAGCCCTGGGGTCTTGCCTGTTGGCATAGATGAAGCTGACGCTTTTACCCATGTTGGAGGCAGCTGGAGGATGGAGTGCTTCATGCACATGAGCCCCCACTACCCACTACAGGCACTTTTCCCACCTGACCAGATCCCAGGTGATCTAGGCTGAGTTTCTCAGTGCAACCATGTGGTTCTGGATTCCCTGACGCTTTTGGCATGACTCAGCTCCTATGCTGGGTCACTTTCCACATATAGCGAGATCCTTCCTAGTGGTTGGGTGAAGAATTAGGTAGCTTTCCTGATGATAAAGACTGAAAATGTAGATTTGACTGTTTGCAACTGGGATTCAGGTGAGAATCTCAAGAAATTATGGACATCATATTACAAAAGATGTAAACTAAAGTGTTTTGGTCAAGGATAAGGAAAAGAGATGAAAAGGTAAAGAGAATGTGGTATCTACCTAGAATGGATGAATATCTTTTACAGGTCTCTTGTGTAGTTAACAATACTGTACTGTGCACTTCAAATACATTAAGAGGATAGATCTCATGTTAAGTGTTATTACCAAAAACATACACACACAGAACATAGAGAAAATTTTGATGGTAATGGTTATATGTAGCACCTTGGTTGTATAGGTAATATCATGGGTGTATTATATGTCTAATCTAATCAAGATGCATATATTAAAAGTGTGCAATTAAAAAAATTATGTCTCTATAAAACTAAACATTAAACAAATATAAATAAATTACCAATTAAAAAATAGAACTTGGTGAAGTCACTAAAAGACTGTGATCTAAGTTTATTCTTTATATGAGAGCTCACTTTAAAGAAATTAGAAGAGCAAAATAAACTCAAAGTAAGCATAGGGAAGGAAAAACAAAAGAAAAATCATGGAGTTTAAACAAATACATAGAAAAAATAAAAATGATAAAGCAATATGAAATAAGATCTTTGATTAGATAGGGAAATGTCAAATTTATCGGTGATCACCATATTGTAACTTTTACCCAAGCTATTTGATTCAGTTCAGTAAAGTTAGAACTATAATATATTTTTTAAAAAATGGGAAGGTTGATTGTCAAATTCACATGAAATAGACATTTTTAAGGAAGAAATAAGAACTTAAAAAAAAAAAAGAACCATGGTAGGAAATATGAAAAAGGTGATACGCAGCGACATTTGTAAATTTTGCTATTGAAGGAAAGAGAATTAAAAAAAACCAACCAACAGAATGACTGATACAGAGGGTGCAGAAACACTTCCTTGTATACAAGGGAGCTTACTATGTGATGCAATTAGCATTTAAATAAGTTAGAAAAATCAATGACTTAAGGAAAATACACTATAGATTTAATCTACATTAATTCAAAATTTATTCTAAAAATAAAATTGAAAATTTAAAGCACTTAAAGAGTCAGAAGAAAGCACAAAGACGCTACGTATGACCTATATATTTAACTCAGTATGAATTTTTACACTGTCAGTTGACTCAAACAAACAAACAAACAAGCAAAATACCCAGGGGAGATACAACTAAGAGTGCTTTGAGAAGTTCTTAGTTATAAAATACGGTTACTAAGATGGAGGAGAGGCTGAAAACATAGACGCTGTGCTTACTGCATATTTAATGATGGAAGAAATGGTTGGATTCAATAGCAAAAGCTTTGAGGTGTGCGATTAGCCTAAAACAGAAAGCCTATGAGTGAGTCTTGAGGACTGAGTGTAGTTATATACTGATACTTTTAAAAAGAGAGGGTAGGTTACCCATAAACAGAGGTAAAGCAATTTTGGTTGTTTTTAAATATCTGAATGAACATATGATGTAATAGTAAATTTGACATAATGCACTCAGATGTTACAAATCATATATAGTATTTAAATATTCTATTTTTCAAAATCCTAAAAATGAGATAGAGACTCATGAGGTAAAACCTAAGAATGTCTATTTCCCTGGGAACTTAAATTTTTTAAAACTTTCAAAGTGTCCTTCTCGGGTCGCAGGAGGATAATGTAGCACTCTGGGGCAAAGCTGCAACCTAGGAGCCCCGCACTGGAGGCCAGCATGGAGCGGATCTCTGCGGCCACCACGACCTTGCCCCCGATGCTGTGGCAGACAGGGAGGACGGTGACCCAGACGCTGCAGAACCCCAGCATGAAGGTCAGGAACTCGGCTTCACTGAAGGTGTCAGGCAGGTTCCCGGCCAGGAGAGCCAGGGAAAATGTTCCCAGGGCTAAGGAGCCCAGGTATCCCGGGACAGAGCAGAAGGCAGTGACTGAGCCCTTGTTGTACGCGATAATTTGGGCTCAGAATGAGTGTCCATCTCAAGGAAAGGGGGCGAGGTTCCCAGCCAGACTCCACAGAGAGTCACTTGGATCAGGGAGCACAAGGGAGTGAATGACATAGTTAGAAACTCCTGTTACCAGCAATTGCTGCACAGTTCTTCCCGGTTTCCTGGCCTTGAATGCCAGGATCACAGTCAGGGTTTTGGTCAAAACGGGGGCAACAGCCACAGTGAACACAGCTCCAAGTGTGATTTGTCGGAGGATGCAGGTGGCTGTGCTGGGACCACCAATGAAGAGTAAGGAGCAGAGGAAACCCAGGAGGAGGAGATGAGCAGGACATGGCTGAGAGCCCGGTTATTTGCCTTGACTATGGGGGTGTCTCAGTGCTTCACGAAGACCCACAAAACCACGGCTGTGATGGCAGATAAACAGAGAGCCGTGCAGGCAACAGACACCCTCAAAGGGTCATCAAAGCCCAGAAAGGTCAAGTCCTTAGGGAGGCAGCAATTTCTCTCACTATTTGGATGCTCTTGAGCTGGGCACTGGATACAGTTCTCTGCATCTGGGGAAAAAGCAAAGACTCAACATTTCATTTTCAGAAATTCTCCATATTTGGCCTGTTTTTTAACTTTTTAAAATGTGGTCACCTTTCCTCTCATTGTGCATACAAACTGCCCCTGATGTCACACTCAGGTACAAGATTAAGAGTCTACATTCATAACCTGGGAAGAATGCTTTCAGTTACAGGTAAGACAGATCTGGTAAGGTAAGGCAGTCTGGATCTTCAGCACACTGTGGGTCAATGCTGGCTCAGCGATCCCAACAAGGATATGGATTTCCCCCCAGTTTTGTCTCTACTCTCCCAGTGTCTTCTTCATCCTAAGATGTGTCCTGCCACGGTTTCTGCAATTTTCCTGGTGAAGTCAAAGTCAAAGATTCCTTATTCATGCATATACTAAGAAGGAAAGTGTACCTAGCCCTCCCAGGTCATCCTCTTTTGTCATTACCCTGATTCCTATGGGCTGCTTTTTGTATATAATTTGATATCTGGTAGAACAAATGTCTCTACATTCTACTTTTTCATTTTTCTATGACCAGTCTTGTACAATTCTTTTATATAAAATTTGAAAACAATTTGATTGAGTAGAAGTAACTTGGTGTCTGAGTGGATTTCTATTGTCTTATATATTTGTGAAGGTGATATCTTAACTATTGATGAATTTTAAAAAAATTTACACCTCCCTAAATCAGGCTTATTTTTTTTTTCTTTGTAAAATAGCAGGTAATAAGTAACTTCAGTGTTGCAGGCTATGTGGTCTTTGTGGCATTTATTCCCCTCTGCTGTTGTGAAACAAGATCAGTCATAAATATGTAAATTAATGAATATGGCTCTGTTTCAATTGTATTTATTCAAATAGGCAATAGTCTGCCTACTCCTCCCCAAAAGTTCCTATTGTTTTTTATGGCTGACTCTCATGCAACAGTACAAAGTCCTAACACAAGCAAGGTAATTCTCATTCACATCTCTTTTCCCCAGCTACCCGGTCTCGCTTCATAGAGCCGACACCTCTCCTGGCCTCTCTCTCTGTCCTTTTGGAGACATGTGTGGCACCCACTAACACGTGTCTGTTTATTCTAGACCTCTAGTCCTGTGTTCCTCTATATGTCTCTTGTTTTAAACACTTATTTGATGTTACAATTCCTTCAGTAAGTCCATGAACAAGAGAATTATTTTTATATATATCTTGTTCATACCTGAGAATATTTATTTGACAAGTGATCAAAATGCAATGAATTCTACTCTTAAGGTGAGTGGAATTACCCAGTATTGATGAAAGAACTCAGATCATTACAATAGACTTAATATTTTAGAAAATTGAAGCACTGTAACCCTTCTCCATTTAATATTTTATAGTAATGTGTTTTCTTTCAGTACATAAGTTTGTAAATCTCTATTTCAAGCAACAGCTACATTTAGGGTCTGTAGGTTGTGATTTAAATTAGACTGAGGAACCGCTCAGGCCGGGGAAGGCACAAAACGCAGGCGCAACCGAATCTGCGCTTTTGTGGAGTACCCGAAAACTGGAACCGCACTCAACGCAGGGCCCGCTCCATGTGGAGCAGCCGGGAGCCTGAGCAGTGTAGACGGGGAAAGCACTGACACCCGTGAGCGGGGCAAACCCAGTGTGGCCGGAACACGGTGAGTGCTGTCCACACAGAGCGGTATCTGTCTGCAGCGCCCGCCCTCCCCGTAGCAGGACTGAACTGAACTAGAGAACCTAAATAAGAGATCACCTCCGCCCGCCTGTGTCAGGGCGGAAATTAGACACCGAAGAGACGGCAAACAGAAGCCAAATAAACAAAGGGAACGGCTTCAGAAAGGACCGATGCAACAGATTAAAATCCCTGAAGGTAACACCGACTACACCGGAAGGGGCCTACAGATATCGAGAAGTGTAAGCTGGAAAGAGGAGCTATCTGAAATTGAACTGAACCTACGCTGACCGCAACAACTCCAGAGAAATTCTTATATATATATATATATTTTTTTTTTAATTAAAAAAAAATTTTTTTTTCTATCCTTTTTTTTTTTTTAATTTTTTCTCTTTTATTTTCTTTTAAAATTCCCTATTACTCCCCCATTACTCCTCAACTTTCATTTTCATATATTTTTAAGATTTTTTTAATTAGGGAAAAAAATTTTTTTTTTCTTTTTCTTGTTTTTCTCTCCTATTTTAAAGTCCTCTAATACTCCTCTATTATTCCTTAATTTTCATTTTCATTTCACTATAACCTTACCAAAAAAAAAAAAAAAGAGAGAGAGAGAAACCCGATTTTTAAATCAAACTTCATATACATTTCTAAATTTTTTTTTGTTTGTTTTTGTTTTTAAATATTGTATTTCAAAGAGTCTAACCTCTACACTAGATTTTTAATCTTTGTTTTTCAGTAGTAGGTGATATAAATTTTGGTCATTTAAGAATCCAATATTCAGTTCCCATTTCTATTCAGGAGTGTGGTGATTACTCTCCCACTTTTGACTCTCTGTTTTCTACCTCGGAACACCTCTATTTCCTCCTTTCCCCTTCTCTTCCCAATCCAACTCTGTGAATCTTTGTGGGTGTCTGGGCTACGGAGAACACTTTGGGAACAGATAACTGCGTAGATCTGTCTCTCTCCTCTTGAGTCCCCTTTTTCTCCTCCTGATCACCTCTATCTCCTTCCTCCCTCTCCTATTCTTCATGTAACTCTGTGAACCTCTCTGGTTGTCTCTCACGGTGGAGAATCTTTTCACCATTAACCTAGAAGTTTTATTATCAGTGCTGTATAGTTGGAGAAGTCTTGAGACTATTGGAAGAACAAAACTGAAATCCAGAGGCAGGAGACTTAAGCCCAAATCTTGAGAAAACCAGAAAACTCCTGACTACACGGAACATTAAGGAATAAGAGACCATCCAAAAGCTTCCATACCTACACCAAAACCAACCACCACCCAAGAGCTAATAAGCTCCAGTACAAGACATACCACGCAAATTCTTTAGCAACGCAGAAACATAGACCTGAGTGTCAACATACAGGCTCTCCAAAGTCACACCTAACACATAGATCCATCGTAAAACTCATTACTGGACACTCCATTGCACTCCAGAGAGAAGAAACCCAATTCCACGCACCAGAACGCTGACACAAGCTTCCCTAACCAGGAAACCTTGACAAACCAATCGTCCAACCCCACCCACTGGGTGAAACCTCCACAATAAAAAGGAACCTCAGACCACAAGAATACAGAAAGCCCACTCCAGACACAGCAATCTAAACAAGATGAAAAGGCAGAGAAATACCCAACAGCTAAAGGAACATGAAAAAAGCCCACCAAGTCAAACAAAAGAGGAGGAAATAGGGAATCTACCTGAAAAAGAATTTAGAATAATGATAATAAAAATGATCCAAAATCTTGAAAACAAAATGGAGTTACAAATAAATAGCCTGGAGACAAAGATTGAGAAGATGCAAGAAATGTTTAACAAGGACCTAGAAGAAATAAAAAAAAGTCAATTAAAAATTAATAATGAAATAAATGAGATCAAAAACACTCTGGAGGGAACCATGAGTAGAATAACAGAGACAGAGATAGGATAAGTGAGTTAGAAGATAAAATGGTGGAAATAAATGATGCAGAGAGGGAAAAAGAAAAAAGAATCAAAAGAAATGAGGACAACCTCAGGGACCTCTGGGACAATGTGAAACGCCCCAACATTCGAATCATAGGAGTCCCAGAAGAAGAAGACAAAAAGAAAGACCATGAGAAGATACTCGAGGAGATAATAGCTGAAAACTTCCCTAAAATGGGGAAGGAAATAGCCACCCAAGTCCAAGAAACCCAGAGAGTCCCAAACAGGATAAACCCAAGGCGAAACACCCCAAGACACATATTAATCAAATTAACAAAGATCAAACACAAAGAACAAATATTAAAAGCAGCAAGGGAGAAACAACAAATAACACACAAAGGGATTCCCATAAGGATAACAGCTGATCTATCAATAGAAACCCTTCAGGCCAGAAGGGAATGGCAGGACATACTTAAAGTAATGAAAGAGAATAACCTACAACCTAGATTACTGTACCCAGCAAGGATCTCATTCAGATATGAAGGAGAACTCAAAAGCTTTACAGACAAGCAAAAGCTGAGAGAATTCAGCACCACCAAACCAGCTCTTCAACAAATGCTAAAGGATCTTCTCTAGACAGGAAACACAGAAAGGGGGTATAAACGTGAACCCCAAACAACAAAATAAATGGCAACGGGACCATACCTATCAATAATTACCTTAAATGTAAATGGGTTGAATGCCCCAACCAAAAGACAAAGGCTGGCTGAATGGATAAAAAAGCAAGACCCCTATATATGCTGTCTACAAGAGACCCACCTCAAAGCAAGGGACACATACAGACTAAAA